GACCATCTTCCCAAGCCTTTGTTCTTACTTAAGATGCAGACCCACTTGACAACAGGTTGTGGCAAGGAAGTGGAGCGAAGAAAGGACCATTAAACTGTGGGTAGGAATGTTTTGACTGGACTCTCAGACACCACTAAATATACACAGGGAAGGGTGAGAGGCCAAGGAGAAGAGGGGACATTTGGTGAATGGTTCCCACAGGAATGAAGGAGGGATGCAGAAGGTCACTTCAGTTTCCAGCATTCTCTGAGAAAGGGATTACAGTCACGCGAATGTTATAATAACCTTGAAAAGTTGCAACTTGTTTTGTAGGCTTTTTATCAAGGCAAACTTATTTTAAGTTGTGTTCTTTGAAAACTCAATGCTTTTATCCAAAAGTCTTTTGGGACGCTGGTTTAATTGACTACAGATTTATAGTCTTGATTTCATACCTTCTCTGCTTCCCCCCAAAACTGCTTTTAAAGAGGAAAATGTCTTCATGCACCCTGGAAGAGCTGGACCCAGCAGGTCCCCGGATTCAGCTGTTCCTGAGGCCAGATGCCAATGCCCTCTGGCTTCCTGTCCCGATCAGCCACCTTCCCCTACCTTTGCCCTGCTAGAGGCTGATCACTGTTGACACCTGTCTTTTGTTCTGGTCATTTCAGTAGCCTGCTTTCCCTGGTCAAGTTCTGAGCAAGAACAGCGGTTCTAAACTGCCCCACTTTCAAAGCTTTCTCTCCTAGTAGTATTCTTGGAATAACAGAGTCACATTATTTTAAAGTGTGTGCTTCATTAAGTTATTGGTTGATACCTTAGATTGAGATATTTCTTTTTAGATTTTGACTTAATTGACTACAGTGAACCCTCGTTTATCGTGGTTAATCAGTTCTAGACCCTACCGTGATAAATGAAATTCCGCGAAGTAGGATTCCTTATTTGTAAATCAAATATTTTCGTAGAGCATAGAGGACATGAAAAAACACCCTTTAGTCACCATTACACTCGTATTACCCAATTTATTAAACGAAAAAGGGAAAATACAGTAAAACATTTTGGACGTTACAATTATCATTTATTATTTATTATATTATTTATGGCATCAAGCGTGTACAGTATGAGCCAATCAGTGGCAGTAACGACAGAGCATGCGCTGTTACGCAAAAACCACGATAGAGTGAAGCCGCGGAAGTCGAAGCGCGAAGTGGCGAGGGTTCACTGTACATTATTATTATCCTTAGAGAAGAACTTTTGTCAATATAAGAGTTTACCGACCATAAAAGTTAATCCAGGCAACTGTGTATCTGATTTTCATGGCTCTGTCAAATGCTGGTCATTTTGTATTAGGGATGGAGGTTTAAATTACTTGTTTAATTAATACAGCCTGCCTCATCCCCAGAGGGGGATGAGGCAGGAGCAGCATCTGCAATAAATGGATTTTTTCTGAGAAGAGGGAGCAGGAGGGTAATGTGGTAAGGCTTATTTTTTCTAGAACAATATTTCTGGCTACAGTGGTGGAAGAGATTGGAGAAGTGCAGGAGGAGAGGGTGATGATCACCTGAGGGTGCCTTTTGGGAAACCTAGGGGTATTGTCCCAAAGCTGGCCAAGAACACGAGACGGAGTCAGGGAGGGGAGGTGTGGTGGGTCCTCTATCGCCCTGGTTCTCAACCCTCCTCATGCCGCGACCCTTTCATACAGTGCCTCATGTGGTGGGGACCCCCCCCCCAACCATACATTATTTTTGTTGCTACTTCATAACTGTAATTTTGCTACTGTTATGAATTGGGTAACCCCTGTGAAAGCGTTGCCCCAAAGGGGTCACGACCCACAGTTGAGAACCACTGCTCTATAACTATCTTCCTATGATTAAAAAAGAATCTTTTCCTTTGTTACCAGACTTGAAATGTAGCATGGAAAGATAAGAATTTCTGAAATAAGAAGTCCTAATTCTGTTGCCTGTCTGGTGATCTTGGCCAATGACAACTCTATGGCCTCAGTGCCCCTCCTTTGTCCAAGGACAGGATTGGCCAAGGGGCTCTATATGATTGCAAGATTGCCTTCAGCTAGGCAAGACTCTAAGTCACTGCCTGAACTGTAAGGTGGTAGAGAATTTTAGGAGTTGCTCTTTATAACAGCATCTCCCTACTTAATCAAAGCAATTTTATCACTCTGGTCAGCCAGGCCAGAAAGTTTTATTGCAGGGCCATTCTGGGAAAGGGTGTTAAGAACTTCTTCCCTTCTTAGATTTGAAAGAGAAGTTTCTGGGTGGTGGTAATCAAAAGGTTTGAGTCCACAAGGTATGTCTCAGAAGACAGCTCTGGAGATCTACTTTTGGAAAATCAGCCCTTAAAAATTCTATGGAGCAAATGTGCCTTATGAGACACACAGGATTATCATGAGTTGGCCAATGGTAGATTCAAAAGAACATCCATTCCTAGAGAGGTGGCAGTGATTAAGTGCTCAGCTGCTGAGAGGTTGTTAGTTCAAACCCACTTGGGGGAGAAAGATGTAATCTGCTTCTGTAGAGATTACAGCCTAGAGAACCCTCTGGGACAGTCTGCTCTATAGGACATGGGGTTACATGAACCAGTGCAGACTCCATGACACTTCACAATAACAACATTTCTAGGAGATTTAGCCTGGTTCTCTTATCTGGATGTAAGGAGAATAGAAATTTTGGTGGCTTAAATAATAGAGACTCATGGGAGGCCCTGGTGACCCCATCTGCTCTTCCCTTGCAAGTTTCTTGAAGTAGAAATTATGTTTATCACATGGTTCAGCAGTGTTATCATCTTGATCTGACAGAAAGTACATTTTTACTTTTAGTAATCAATATGTGGTCTGAATTTTACTTGGCATAGCTTTGTAGATCTATAGTGTGATTTGTAGAGACAGAAGTATACAAGAAGGTACCCTCCCAAAAAAACAAAAACCAAAAAGCTCCACTGGGCAAAGCTTTCATAATACACATTTTCCTCACTAGGTGAGCATTGAACAACTCACTCTGAGAGAGTGCACCCAGCGGTGTCAGCTGGAAAGGTTCTCTCTGGTCACAATGACTTTTTAAAAATTGTCTTATTAAGGACTCATACAACTCTTATCACAATCCATACATACATCAATTGTGTAAAGCACATTTGTACATTCATTGCCCTCACCATTCTCAAAACATTTGCTCTCCACTTAAGCCCCTGGCATCAGGTCCTCATTTTCTCCCCTCCCTCCCTGTTACCCCCTCTCTTATGAACCCTTGATAAATTTTTTTTAACATTTTATTAGGGGCTCATACAACTGTTATCCCAATCCATACACACATCAATTGTGTAAAGCGCATTTGTACATCGTTTCTCAAAACATTTTCTCTCCATTTAAACCCCCGACGTTAGGTCCTCATTTTTCCCCTCCCTCCCCGCTCCCCCCTCCCGCATGAGCCCTTGATAGTTTATAAATGGGTATTTTGTCATATCTTGCCCTGTCCGACGTCTCCCTTCATCCACTTTTCTGTTGTCCGTCTCCCAGGGAGGAGGTCACATATAGATCCTTGTAATCGGTTCCCCCTTTCGAACCAACCCTCCCTCAACGCTCTCTGTATCGCCTCACAGTGAATTTTTTCATAAAAGCAGTTTTACTCAAACTCATTTTTTGTGATGGCCAATTTAAGAGAACAATGTGCAGCTGTGAAATTTTGTTTTCTGCTCAGCACAAATGCCACAGAAACTGTTGTGATGTTGAATATAGCTTACAAGGACAGTGGTATGGGAAAAACCCAAGTGTATGAGAAGTTTTCTAGTTTTTAAAAAGGTGAAATGTCAATTGACGAGAAACCTTCTTCTGGATGTCAGGGTCAACTTCCTGAACAGGAAAAAATGTAGACAAAATTCATGCACTTGTGCTCGAAGACTGACCACGACAGACTTGAAGCGATGGGGACGTTTCCTGGACTATCTTGGCGCTCAAGCCAGCGAATTGTAACGGAAGATTTAGGAATGAGAAAGGTTGCTGTGAAATTTGTGCTTCAGCTTCTGACTGACCAGGAAAAAGAGTTTCTAGTGGAAACATGCTGTTGGAAGAACAGCTTTGAAAGAACAGCTTTGTGTGTTTGAAGCAATCCAGACTTTTCCCCAGGGTCATTACTGGTGAGGAGACATGATGCTATTCTAATGACCCCAAAAGCAAACATCAATCAAGCCAGTGGAAGACACCATCATCACCTTGACCCCCCAAAGCTTGTCAAGTGAAACCAAAGATCAAGACGATGCTCACTTGTGTTTTTGATGTGAGGGGGATAGTGCATTTGGAGTTCATTCCACCAGGTCAGACTGTTAATCAAGCTTTCTATTTAGAGGCTCTGAAAAGATTGTGCAACAGTGTGCGCTGAAAAAGGCCTGATTTATGGCAGACAGGGGACTGGTTTTGCCACCACAACAATGCCTGCTCACACAGCCATCTCAGTGCAACAGTTTTTGGCAAAAAACAGTATGCTTTTCTTGCCCCATGCACCTGACTCATCTGACCTCGTTCCATATGACTTCTTTTTGTTTCCACAAATGAAGAGGGATGAGGGAGGTGCTGTCAGCCATCCAAACAGATGAGTTTGAAAAAAGTTTCCAAGAATGGGATTGCAGATCTGACAAATGTATTAAGTGTAATGGAGACTACTTTGAATGTGATGAAGTTGTTTTGTAAAAAAATTAAATACATAGCTCTGAAAAAAAATTCTGTTTTTTTTGGTACCCACTTGTATGTATTAATAAGCAATATTGCTAATTAGTTAATTTTCTCAGGAGTATGAGCAATGACAAAATGCCTTTAATTCTATAATATTTCATGGGCTTGAAATATAATATATGTAATAAGTAGGGAATCATCAATTATATCTTTGCTATGTAGCCATACAATTAAGGATAAATTAATGTATCTTTCCCTTTTATTGACTTTTATTTTATTATAGCTTGCTTAATTTTTTAGCTTAAAACTCAGTTGGATTTATGTTTTTCCTTTAATTTCTATTTATGGCCTTAAGGAAGAAGCTGGAGAGACAGCATCAAAAGAGGTACAATCACATATTTAATGGTTGTATATAATCAGCTTAATTAAAGCATCTCTTAGGCCTGAGACTTACAGCTTTTGGCATGTTCTCCTTGTTATTCATGAACTAGCGAAGCCAACAGAACCCTAAAACACAAATTTCTCCTTTAGTTTGCTGAGAAGGGAAATAAAATAATCTGGAGATAGATTTATCACAGGGAAGCAGATAGAGAACAAGGGCTTGGCTATGAGCCCTTTTTTGAAACTCCAGTGGGGAAGGTGTCTTTAATGGCTTCTCATTAAAGCCCAGCCAGGCCAGGTCATTAAGGGGAGATTTGTTCTCCCTGGTTCTTTCTGCCCCTGATGTAAGAGCATCTAGCATTATCATACAGAGCTTAGTGGTGTGAATCTTGGATGCCATGAGACTTACGCTTGCAGCCTATTATCAAGCGTCTAGAAGATGGGGCATTAGGAAACGACTTGGCTGTTAGATTTGCAGTGACACCTCTCCCGAGAGAACATTTTTGATTTGAGAAGAAGTTTTAAGCTGCCTCTTCAATGTGAGATTATATTGGAATATCGATTCTCATCTGCTGGGTGTCTTGGAATCAACTGAGGTGTTACAGAATCATGTAGAAATCTGCCTCCCTTACGGAATGAGCACTACCATCAAGGGTTAGACCTGATATGCCCTCAGGTTGCCTGAGAAAGCGCTGGTGAGAACCTCTGTTTTGAACCTCTGTTTCGAGAAGCCAGGACTGAAGAGGAAGAGAGACAGTATAAAGTTAACACAAGAATTTCCAGCCCCTTGTGTGGCTGGTTTCTCTCCTTGCTGTACCTCTTTTGGCCTTGAGAGAAAACACCTAAGGATGAGAAAATGAAGGAAAAGTTTGAAAATGAAAATTAAAATGATAAAGAAGAAATTTAACAGGATGAAGGATTTAAGAAAATAAATCTTATGTATAAAAGTGAGAGAATTAATATGTAAGAAAATAAAGTCTCACAAAGATAAAAAACTTGTACAGAGTAAGCATTTATCTAAGAATTAGAAATATTGAGGATAGAAGCTTTAAATGGAAAGATAAAAATATTAAAAGAAAAATTAGAAAACAGTATTAAAAATATTGAGGGTAAATTTAAAGTAACATGATTTATTCTCTGTAACATGACTTAAACCACCTGTTGGATGACTAAATATTTATATATGCTTGTTTTTTATGGTTAAAGAATATCCATCATTCTCAGTTACAGTAGTCGAAAATTAAAGTAGTACATCATAGAATAGAGACTTTAAATGATAAATTCCTGTCAGGGTAGCTAGCCCCTAACAAATCATCACAGGTCCTGTAGGCACAATTGTACAGCGATAATAAGTAAAGTCATAGATAATAAGAGAGATAGAAATAAAAGAGTCAGACATATTTCATAGTAGCATGCTCACCTCAGCCCCACTCAGGGGTCTACATGACAATGTGGAAGGTGGGAGTTGTAGGAGCGAGCGAGAATGATTTATTACTAACCAAAGCTCCTAGCTCTTTTGGGAGTGTGCAAGCTTCCTAATTATGGATAAGGACATATGTCACAGGAAGGGGTTGTGCTATAGGTAATACAGTGATGAGAGGGGGATGATCTAGGGGTATACATGTAATAGGAAGGGGAGGGACTGGGGGTACATATGTGACAAGATGGGCAGATCCTAGATACAGGGAGGCAGCCTAATTTTGGATGTCACTGAGGTTTCACCTGTTCTCTGGCTCTCCATAGAAACTATTATCAGTAGGGTATGAACCCCACCTACAGTGGGCCAGACTAATGGCTGAAAGCTTTCAAGGAGAAGTAATCCATTGTCCTTAACAGCAGGGAGTGGGCTCCACCTGTGGTGGGACCAGATACCTTTAGAGAGAATATCTCTAAGCATCTGACCTCCTACCATGTGCTGGCAAACAGCTTCTAATGTTTGGCATGTCTTTGGGGGAGACAAAGCTGGGGAAACGTCTTTTTATGTCCCACGGGTTCCCAAACTTACTTGGCATACTGATCCCTTTCAGAAAGAACATTACTTAGGACCCTCTGGCAAATAAAACCTCTTGTACTGTAGGCAATAATCCAGGATAAAGTGTGGGTACCTGCTTTGCATCCCCCCTGGATCATTCCACCACAAGTCTGTCAGTTAGTTGTACTGTGATGACTTGTGTGCTGCTATGATGTTGGAAGCCATGTCACTGGTATTTCAAATGCCAGCAGGGTCACCCAAAGTGAACAGAGGAGCTTCCAGACTAAGAGCAGACAGTGAAGAAGAACTCGGCTCCCCACTTTGGAGGAAGTAGCCACTGAAAACCTTATGCCTAGCTTAGAAACATTGTCAGAAATACAAAGGGCTAATAATTGGAAGCTGAACATTGTTGTATAGTGTTGGAGAATGGCTCAGAAAACTCAAAGTGTGACTGAAGAGGAGCTGATTTCTCACAGCGGAGGCGATCATGTTGACATGAGTTGGGTAAGGTCTGTGGGAGCGGCACCTTTGAGGTCTTCATTTGCAGAGAGGGATAACTCAAGGTGAGGAGAAACAGTTGCAAAAAGCTGCTAATGATTGGAACTTGGAATATGCAAAGTATGAATCTAGGTAAATTGAAAAATGGAATGGAGCACATAAAGATCGAAATCGTAGGCATAATGGAGCTGATGGGCTGGTATTGGCCATTTTGAATCAGAAAATCATATGATTTACTATGCTGGGAATAACACAACCAACAGAAAGGGTGTGGTATTCACTGTCAAAAGGACATTGCAAAATCAATCATGAAGTACAATGCCATCTGTATAGGATTATATCTATCTGCCTTCATGGAAATCTAATCAATACAACTATTATTCAAACTATGCACCAACCACAAAAGCAGTAGTTGGATAATATGAATTGGTGATAGAAATGCAGCTGGAGATAACATGACAGAATTTTGCAAGACCAATGATTTGTTCATAGCCAATATTTCTTTCCACAACACAAATGGTGACTATACACTAGACTTCTCCTGATGGAATACCCCAAACCAAGTGTATTAGTCTGGGTACTTTGGAGAAACAAATCCACAGCAACTCACGTATAAGAGAGAGTTTTATGCAAAGAAAATGTGCATCACGAAAACATCCCAACCCAATGCTGCCCAAGCCCACAAGTCCAACATTAACCCATACTCAACACCAGTCCACAAAGTCCTTCACCTCACAAAACAGAGGCAATAATGCCGACTGCAGGAGGAAAGCTGAGTCAGTGAACGTGTAAGCATCTCAGCACTGGCAGGGGTCTCCACACGGCTGCTCCAGCACCCAGGGCTGTATCGGGATAGATCCATGCGGCTTCTCCTTGGGGATGTCTTGTAGGAAATCCATCTTGCAAGCTGAAGCAGGGAACTGCTAAGGCAGCTGCACCCGATGCAACCATCACAAAACAAGAGACCCGAGAACTAGAAAGGCGAGGCTTCACCACCCATTTGTCCCTCCACCTTTCAACCAGCACCGCATGTGATTATCGGCCAGGCTGGCACAATTAACTAACTCACCAAGTTCACTACATTTGTAGGAAGAGATGATGGAGAAGCTCCATATCAGCAGCTAAAACCAGGCAAGGGGCTGACTGTGGAGCAGACTATCAATTTTTCATATAGAAGTTGACGATAAACCTGAAGAAAATTAAACAAGTCCACAAGAACCAAAATAGGATCTTGAGTCTATCCCACCTGAATTTCAAGAACAGATTTGACTAATTGAACTCCAATGACAGAAGACCTGATGAGCTGTGGGAGAACATCAAGAACATTCATTATTCATGAAGAGAGCAAGAGATCATTAAAAAGAAAAAAAAGAAAGAAAAGACCAAAGTAGATTTTAGAAGAGACTCTGAAATTTGCTCTTAATTTTACAGTAACTAAAGCAAGTGGAAGAAAGGATGAAGTCAAAGAGCTGAATAGAAAATTTCAAAGGAAGGTTAAAAAAGACAAAGTCAAATATTATAAAGAAATTTGAAAAGACCTAGAATTAGAAACCCAAAGGGAAGAATACACTCAGCACATCTTAAACCAAAGAACTGAAGAAAAAATTCAAGCTTCAAGTTGCAATACTGAAAGATTCTATGGGCAGAATGTTGAACGATGAAGGAAGCATTAAGAGAAGATGGAAAGACAATACAGTTACTATACCAAAAAATCCAAAAAACCCTAGTCAACAGTCCAACATTTCAGGAGGTAGCATATAAGCAGAACCAATGGTGCCGAAGAAAGAAGTTTACGTTGCATGAAAGGCATTGGCCAAGAACAAGATTCCAGGAATTGATGGGATACCAATTGAAATGTTTCAATAGGCTGATGAATCACTGGAAGCACTCACTCATCTATGACAGGAAATTTGGAAGACAGTTAGTTGGTCAACTGAATGGAAGAGATCCATATTTGTACTCATTCCAAAGAATGGCGATGCAACAGAATACTCAAACTATAGGATGATATCACAGGCCAGTAAAATTTTGCTGAAGATCATCCAATAAAAGTTTCAGCAGTACAATGACAGGGAGCTGCCAGAGGATCAGGGTGGACTTAGAAGAGGATATGGAACAAGACATATCATTGTTGATGTCAAATGGATATCGGCTGAAAGCACAGAATACCAGAAAGATGCTTACTGGTGATTTTACCGACTACGTAAAGGCTTTCAACCATGTGGATCATAACAAACTTTGGATAACCTTGAGAAGAGTGGGAATTCCATTATGCTCATGAGAAATTTGTACATGGATCAAGAGGAAATTGTGTCAACAGAACAAAAGAATACTGCATGGTTTAAAACAGGGAAAAGTATACAGACAGGGTTGTATACTCTCACCATACTTATTCAGTCTGTAAATGGAGCAAATAATCAGAGAAACTGGCTTATCTGAAAAAGAACGTGGCACCAGAAGGAAGGATTATTAACCACCGGCCACATGCAGATGACGTAATCTGACTTGCTGAAAGTGAGGAGAACTTGAAGCACTTGCTGATGAAGAGCCAAGATTGCAGCCTTCGGTATGGACTACGACTCAATGTAAAGAAGACACAAATCTTCAGAACTGGACCAATGGGTAACATCATGACAAATGGAAAAAAAGTTGAAGTTGTCAAAATTTTTGTCTTGCTTGGACCCATAATGAAAGCTCATGGAAGCAGGAATTAAGAGATCAAAAGATGTGTAGCACTGGGTAAATCTGCTGCCCAGGATCTCTTGAGCTAATTGAAAAGCAAGGGTGTTCCTTTGATGACTAGGGTAGGCCTGACCCAAATCAGGGCCTTTTCAACGGCCTCATATGCATGTGAAAGCTGGCCATTGAATAAAGAAGATTGAAGAAGAATCAATACATTTGAATGGTGGTGCTGGAGAAGAATATTGAAAGTGCCAAGGACTGCTGAAAGGACAAACTGATCTATCTCGGATAAATAAGGCTACTGTGCTCCATAGAGGCAAGGATGGTGCGACTTCGTCTTACGTCATGTAGACATGTTGTCAAGGGAGACCGGTCCCTGGAGGAGGACATTGTGTTTGAGAAAGCAGTGAAGGAGAGGAAGGTTCTCAAGGAGACGGATTCATACTGTGGCTACAACAGTGGGCTCAGGGATAGGAACAGTGGTGAGGATGGTGCATGGCGGGTTTTGCTTCGGTTTTGCATAGGTTTCCATGGGTCATAGCCTACTCGATGGCATCTAACGGCACAACAACAACAATAACTGGATCATTCTAGTGACATCCAGGGGGCTGGATAACCCATTTTGGGAAATACTGTTTTAAATATTTTAACTTGAAATACATTGTGTGTATCTGTATGTGTGTATTTTATATAAATGTGTATTTGTTGCCAATTTTTGAGGCAGGACGGGGACCTTTCCTTAAAAAAGGATTTAATGATTAAAGTTACCGATTATCTTTCTATTATGAACATACTCATTTGCTTGTTTAGAAATCCCAGCTATGATTTCTTAAACTAGAGTAGAAATTTAATGCCCCTTGCAAAACAATGTAGGTACATAACCTAATTTATGACTGAATTTTGAGTTACATACAGTGAGTCTTTCCAGAGTATTCCACTAAGTTTTCATAAAGAACTAAAATGCTTTTTTTTCATTTTCATATTTCCTTGACTTCCTTGATGTTTATTTAAAATGTGTCATTACTGTAAGATTATAACTTGCATCTAAAAGGGTGGGAATAACTATAACCAAATGCTAAGGGGAGATATTGGTGTGATTTGGGAGGAGAGACTATACTAGAGTAGTGGTTCTGATGGCGAGGCCCCTGGGGCAGTAGGTTCAGCTTTGATTGACGTCCTGTGGTACAGGGAACCGCCTAATGCCCAAGAGTAAGAATCAGGATCAGCACAAAGCTGGTTGCTATGAGGTGGAAGGTCGGACAACTTTTTCACTGTTTCTGACACCAGCTGTTTCCCAAAGGATGCTCGACTTCTCTGCGAGGCTCAGTCATTCTTTGCAATGATCATACCTCATTACTTGCAGTTCAGTGGTTTCTTAAGGCAGCAACAGGCTCAGGATCAGGAAGCATCTAGGGAAAGTTTGAAATGTTCCGCCCAAATTGGAAAGCATATCCCTCACTTTTTTTAGTGCAGGATAGCTCTCACTGCTCCTCTCAGTAATGCAAGCAGGCATGCTTTTCTCTAAGCCTGGCAAGCAGGCCCTTCCCTGGGGTGTGCACCCAACCACTCAGCCGTGCACAGGCCTCTGCCTTCAGCTTTCCTGTCCACCTTTCCGCTGCCGACTGCTCACAGACAACGTAGCTGTTTGCACAGCAGCTTCTGGCCTAGTCGTAGCTTTCTGCCACAGGGCCCACCCCAGACCTACTGAGTCAAACACTTTGGGCTTCAAGAAGTCCCTAGATAATTCAGATGCCCAATCAGGTCCAAGAACCACTGGGCTGCTACATAGGTTCCAGTCAACCTCATGTGTCGACAACTGGAAGTCACTCATAGAGCTTTTACTGTTTCGGATTTAGTAATAAAAAGTTTACTTAGACAGAAACTTGTTTGTTAGGTGCTAGTGATTAGTTAATAAAAGAGAAAAAGGAAAAAGTAGCAAGCCCGCCTCCCTCAAAACCAGTTACTTTCTCTTGGAGATGGGTGGAAGTGAGTCCTGGGGAAGAGGCCTGCCAAGACGCTCCTGTTTCCAGATGCAGACACCAAGCCTTCTCTTCCCTGTGTTTTTGAGATGTTTAGATTCTACCAACTGTATTTTGAGAGCTTTAAAGAACAATTAAAAATTTGTTTTGGAGGCGGGGATTATTTTATTTCTACTAAGAGATGATTTAATTGTAAAGAGCTTTATGGTAATTTTCATCAATGTAGCACTCAGAGGTTGGCAGATTATTTTTATATGGCTGACACTGTAGCCATGTAGTATGAAACAAAATAAAACTTCTTATTCAGTGACTTGCCTATTAAGCTTGGAGTTATTGAGCTGGATTTTTGGGTAAAACTTAATTCAAAGACTAACAGGGATGTAGTTATTTCCGAGGTCAGATGAATCAGTTTAGAGAATATCAGTGAATTCTATAAACAATCCAAAGTGACATTCTCAGATTCTCTGTGTTAGGCCAGGTTGACTAGATAAACAAATTCAGTGACACTCATGTACAAGAAAGAGATTTATAGCAAGGAGTAAATAGATATCGCAAAAAAGTCCAGCCCAATGCAACTCAAGTCCCTAAGTCCGATACCAGTAAGTCCCTCTGCAGACTCATGCAGCCACATGCAATGAAGCGGAATGCAGGAAGATCACAGGCCCATGGGAACAAAGTCTTCTCGATCCAATGGCAGTGAATGCATCTCCATTTCTAAAATGTCAAGGTCTTTTGATGAGAATGGTCTATTAGTCTGAGTGACAATCGTGTGATTAAGAGAAACCATGAAACTCCCTAGGATTAACGTCCTGCTCCGCATTCCAAATTGTGAGGAGTCTGGATTTAGGTTGTTGTCTCTGCGTGTTTGCATGTGTGTGCATCTGGGTGAGTGTGTTTATGTGTGTATATGTGCATGTGTGTCTTGGGTGAGGGGTGTGGGACACCCTCAATTCAAGTCAGAGCTTTTGTACTTCTTTTTTCACTGTAACTTTCAACTCCTCCATTTCTCAGTAATGATATATATATATTTTTTGGTTCAAATAAGACGGAAGAAATAGCCGAGGAGGGAGCTGCAGAGGAAGCAGAGGAAGAGGAAGCTGATAAAGAAGAAGAACCAGGAGAAGAAGAAGAAGATTCGTAGATCTTATCAATGCTTTATTTTCCCAAGTTTTCCAGGTAGCTACATTATTCCGGGGTTTATTTAGAATTTGTTTATTTAGTACATTGTATTACATTTTACTGGGGATTAAGAGAAAAGTTTATTACAATTTACATATACCTGCCTCGAAACTGGTCAGCATCCTTTATGGTATGTAGAGCCTCAGGGTCTATAGAGCCCCACTGGGCCATTTCTTGGACATAGGATCTTGGGCACAAGATGCTATGGTCCATAAGATTTCTAGGAAAACATGTACCATTGAGGGAGGGAAGAGTTTTTTTGGGTAATTATTCCCTCCTCTTTCTCTACATAGCCCTTCTTTCAGAAAAGGTCCAGGAAATTTGCTATTGCTTAGACTCCTCTGTTGGCCTGTACACTTGGGAATCTATAGGTGGTGACAACTGATGTTCATAGCAATGACAATAAATTACAAACTTAGAAAAAAATCACAGACCCAACTATTGATTACTGAAATAATAAATTGCTGCTAGAGTTCTGGTGATAAGTGTATAATATTACATTTTCATTTATTAAATATAAACCAGGACACTCCTTGGAATGTGGTGAAATTATTTTAGGTACCTTTGATCAATAAGGTATTGTTGCCTTGCAGTTTTACATTTCTATTGATGACAAGTAATTATGTTCTTAAAAGTTTTATTAGTGCCATGGTTAGTGTATGAGTAAGATAATGGTAGTACCTCCCTCAATGCAAGAATACTTTCTTCTATTAAATTGGCATTCTTTGATGCTCACCTTCCCGACACAATTGCTGAAGACAAAGCGGGTAAATAAGCAAATGTGATGAAGAAAGCTGATGGTGCCCAGCTATCAAAAGATATAGCGTCTGGGGTCTTAAAAGCTCGAAGGTAAACAAGCGGCCATCTAGCCCAGAAGCAACAAAGCCCACATGGAAGAACATATCAGCCTATGTGATCACGAAGTGTCAAAGGGATCAGGTATAAGGCATCATCATCTTACTATAGTGAATGATGGGGGGAGTGCAGAGCGGAGACCCAAAGCCCATTAGTAGGCCACTGGAGATCCCCTTGCAGAGGAGTTTTGGGGAGGAGACCAGCCAGTCAGGGTGCAATGTAGCAACGGTGAAAAATACAACTTTCCTCTAGTTCCTAAATGTTCCTACTATCATGATCCGTATTCTACCTTGCAAGTCTGGCTAGACCAGAGGATGTACACTGGTACAGATAGGAACTGGAAACACAGGGAATCCAGGGCAGATGTTCCCTTCAGGACCAGTGGTGTGAGTGGTGATACTGGGAGGGTAAAGGGAGAATGGGTTGGAAAGACGGAACCAATTATAAGGAACTATATGTGACCTCCTCCCTGGGGGATGGACAACAGAAAAGTGGGTGAAGGGAGATGTCAGACAGGGCAAGATATGACAAAATAATAACTTATAAATTATCAAGGGCTCATGAGAGAGGGGGGAGGGGGGAGGGAGGGGAAAAATGAGGACCTAATGCTGGGGGTTTAAGTGGAGAGGAAATGCTTTGAGAATGATGAGGGCAATGAATGTACAAATGCGCTTTACACAATTGATGTATGTATGGATTGTGATAAGAGTTGTATGAGCCCCTAATAAAATGATTGGAAAAAAAAAGATAATGATAGTACCTAATGATAATGGATTATTAAGTGCTATGCATACATCTGACATTACTTGTCATCTGGCAAATAATTGTGTAGATGTTGTGTGATTATTAATTTTGTTGGGTACTATAGACAAATAGAAGTCAGTGGTTCATTCTCCAGGGCAGCAATGCTTATATATTTTTGCTCTAATTACTTCTGCTTGATAAAATTTCTTTCAAAATTATAAAATTTTAATGTGGTCATTATAAAAAATATTTTGAATGTAACATGATATTACCAAGAGAGAATCTCTGTTGCTCAGCAGCTTTTATAAGCTGATTTTCTAAAAAGTCATAAAACAGCTCATGATAAACAGTTTCATTTCTCTGATCACACCTAGTTTGGAATCTGGTGCTTGGCATGTTGTCGTAAGGGTCCAGCATCTACTAGTTAAGGAGTGAAGCAGATGGACCCCTGAATGCTAAGCCTCTTCACAGGGAGGGTCACTACCCTGCTCTTGCATAACCTGGTCATGCACTCAGGCATGCTGCAAACAATGTGGTTTAAAAAGACGGACTCATGGGTGTTCTTTACATTTTTATTTGAGATGATCATTTTAGAGATGACAGGGCAATACACGAGGCTCTGAAATAGATCTATTTTTCTCCCACATCTGCAAGTGGAGTCAGAAGTGGATGATTGAATCTCAGGAGAAATAATATGTAGTGTGAGAATCCAAATACCTACCCCCAAAAGATTGTCATTTGATATTCCCCTCTAATACGAGGGAGCTTCAAAAAGAGTGTGGAAAAATGGAATTGGTAATGGCATTTTCCCATGGTTTTTTGGAAGCCTTCCTATGTAGCCATATTGTTGTTAGCTACTGGCTGGTCGGCCCAGGACTCATGGGGACATCATGCATGACCACCTGATTCTTGTGACCCCCCCGGGGTTTACCTTGGTGGATTCTCTGGAAGTAGATCAGTAGGCCTTTCCTCTTACCTGTTATCATTTGGAAATTCTGCTGAAATGTGTTTAGCGCCTTAGCAACACTCAAGCCTCCATGGACAGATGGTCATGGTTACACATGAGGTGCACTGACTGGGGACTGGATGCAGATCTCTGCCATGGAAGGTGAAAATTCTACCTCCATATCATCACTGCTCCTTAATATAACCAGGGGCCATTTGAATTCCCTCCTCCCCAATGAGGCTGTGAAGTCAGCCTAATTTCTATGAAAATGCAACAGAGAAACAAGCTTGGGATGGTTGAATTCCTTATGTTTGGGTACAGAGAAAAGGGCAAACCTGGCCTCGTTTTCCTGTGCGGAAAATGTGATTTCCTCTCCTTGCACTTGGAAGCAGCCCCTGAGTCAGGGTGTCCGGAGGAAAAGGCCTCTGCACTGTGTGTTGAATAATGAAGGCAGTGATGGACATCTCCATCTCTCTTTAACGGCCTTCACCCTAAATTCTTGCCCTTTCTTTTAGGAAACAGAAGATATGAAGCAACATTTTGACCGCCGTCCCCCAAACCAAACTCACCAAAATACTTTGACTCAAAGACAAATCCATCTTTCCCAGGACTTCGGAGTCACCGTGGAATTGCCCTCCTAGGCATGGGTAGATAGATATGCCTGGTCACACTTACTCAACCTCATCAGTATGAAATGAAATGTGAAGACAACGCATATATACCTTCACGGGCCTGGATCTCTGGCCTTCGAAATCATCATCATTATGATTTGCTCTGCATGAGCAGGCTTTCTAACTCCTACTCTGAAAAATAATCTCCACGAATGGAACGTCTCTTTGTGAGATAACAAAAGTATCCCCTCTGTATGTGCCATACGCTACTGGTCTCAGAATTAGCTTGTAAAAGGAATGTGCTTTCCAGAGAAGGATCATTTAAATAAAGATTGGTAACAAATAGACTTTCCCAAGGAGCATTATATCTTGGTTTCTAGATCTGCTTATATGCAGCTGAACTCCTTCTGGCTGTTGCCAAGTGTGAATCATAACTGTTGAGCTTTCTGCCTGCACGGGGTCGGGGTGGGGGGTGCTGTCTATGGTACTGATGATTTGGTCCATGTTGTCAGTGGCACCGATTGTCTCATTACATCCTGTTCTGCATTAGACACATTGCTGCCCACATTATCTTGGAAGCCTTCCCTAAATGTAGCTCTGTCATCCACACGTGTGAGGACGAGGGGAACAACAAAGGCACTTGCAATCCAGCGCCCTTTACATGGCTCTGGAGCAGAAGAGCGTAGCTGCTTCAGTGATCCTGCTGGTTATTGATTTATAATCTGAGCTGCTCTGTGTGCACGGCTTGTTACTAGAATTGTACCGTCTTGATCGCAAGGAGTGTCTGTTCACCAAGAGCCGGTTTGAGCCTGATGACTTGTAAGGTAAGTCTGATAGCATCTGTCTGCTCACCTAACTCACCTGCCTTTGTCCCAGATGTGTTGTTTTCTTGCAAGCTTTTGTTGGCATCCATCTTCTTGCTGCCCAATCATTGTATTTTGTTGCAGCAAACATCATTTCTGTGCGGTCAGAAGCGCTCTGGGCAGTGCTTTTTCCTATTTAATATTAGTCGTGGCAATTCAGCTTGGAGTGGCCAGCAATTTCCCCCACCCCCACCCCGGCCCCCACCCCTAAGTCTGCCTATTGATCCTTACAGCCAATAGCTTGTTTGTGCCCTTAGGGAACGGGTTGTATGGCCGTGGAAGTCATGTGATCACATGGGCTCAGAAAAACAGCACTGTCCTTGTTGCCCTAGTAACAAAAAGAGGCATTTGGAAGAGAATTATGGTTGCTTTGTTCCAAATCTTTGAAGTAGATTATTTTGAAAAAAATTTTTTTTGGCTGATAATAAGGCAAAAAAAAAGATGCCTGTGGAATGAGAATTTATATGATCAAAATAAAGCTTACTTTTATTTCATTGTATTAAATTATGTTATAGCTAAAAAAGCATGGATACTTTTTATAACAACCCCACACATAACCAGGTTTTTAAACTTTACTTTTGCCTATGATTGACATTTGGGTCTTTTGTGGAAGAGTAGACGGAGGTATATTATTTAGCTAAGTCCCAATTTTCCTCCTACTGCTCATATTTTTAGAAATGAAAATGATTGTTTATGGTCATAAGAAGCAAAGGTAAGCGAACAGACCACTTACTTATGTTAACATTTTTCTTACACTGCTTTGCTGATGTCAGAAAATTAACTTTCTCGAGGAAGGCTTCAGTGTACTCACATTTGGTTTACAGTCCGACTGAAAAGCAAACGTCTCTTAGAGTCATACTACAGAGGCCCGAGGCAGCTGTGTGCTCAGTTGCTAAGAGAAAGGTTGGAGGTTTACTAGAGACAGGGGTGGGGCTGGGGTGGGGTTGAGGGGTGGGCGTGTGCGCACGTATCTTCGGAAAGATCAGCCATTGAAAACAGTATGGAGCGTAGTTCTACTCTGGCACTCGTGGGTCACCATGAGTAGAGTCGACTCAAAAGCAACAGCTTTCTAAGAAGAGGATCCCTTCTCTTCTAGACGCTCACTTTCAGGCTCCCTGGTTGGTCTTTCTAGGGGACCAGTGAGAAAAAAGTCAGCTATGAACTGTCCAACAGAAAAATATACCGAAAGCACCCATGGACTGTATACAGATAGAAAGCATCTGGAAACTAACCTGCATTATAAACAACGCAAGAAAGAATAACTTAGAGGGAAACTCCAAATGAACAAGAAAATAATTCTACGAAAAAAGAGAAAGGACTCGATCAAGGGAAGAATTCTACGATGAGCCCTGGAGGCCCTGTCAGGGAAGCATTAACTACTACCTACAAGGCTGGCAGTTCAAACCCACCAGCTGCTCTTCAGGAGACAGGTGAGACTGTCTGCTCCTATAGCCATTTGCAATCTCAGAACTCCTCTGGAGGGTTGCTAGGAGTCAGAATCAACTTGATGAACTTTATGGCTTACTATGAAGCTATGGAAAATTCAAGGAATTTTATACATTAGTCTACAAGAGGCATACATATTTAATTAGAAAGGCAGCAGCAAAAGAAAATCTGAATGCATATTTTTTAACCACTGAAAATGCAGCTTTTCTCTACCCTCCCTACCCTCTTTCTTGCCTTCTGTGGTTTCTAGGAGTTTCTTTGGGCTGGAATCCTCATTTGGGACCAGCAGCTCAGATAAGCAATAAGGGTGGCCCATCCGAGCCATTGAGTTAAATGCGAAATGAAGAAAGAACACAATGCACAGTTTACAAACGTTCTTGAGAAACATGAACAATTTTTGTAAAACAGATTCTCATTCTTAAACCTGTGGAAAGATGGTGGGTCTTGTGACCCTACTGAGCTGTGATCCAGTCATTGGGAATGACCAGGGATGTGGTTGTCCTTAGGTACTGTCAAAACAGTTTCAACTCATTGATGCTCTGTGTACCACAAAACAAAGCAAAGCACTGCCCAGTCCTGCAATATCATTATTGTGTTTGCGGTCACCGGTGCTGTGGCAGTCCATCGTGCTGAAAGTCTTCCTCTCTTTCACTGCTTCTCTACCACACCATGTCGTTTTCCAGAGACTGGTCGCTCGTGACCACACCTCGAAGCACAAGAGACAAAGCCTTTCCATCCTTACTTCGAAAGCACATTCTAGCAGAACCTTTTCCAAGGCAGATTTGTTTTTCTTCTGACAGTCCATGGTCCTTTCAATATTCTTCACCAACACTATCGTTTAAATACATCAATTCTGCTTTGTTCTTTCTTATTCATGATCCAATTTTCATCTACATATGAGGCAATTGGAAATACCCTGGCTTGAGTCAGGCTGACTTTAGTCCTCAGAGGAACATGTTTGCTCGTCAACATGTTAAAGGAGTTTTGTGCCGCAGACTTGCCCGATGCAGTCCATCATTTGATGTATGATGTACTGACTGCTGTGTCCATGAGTATTGATTGTGGATCCAAAGCCAATTAAATCCTTGATAACTGCAATCTTTTTCAGTTGGTTCACCTGTGAGGCCGTGGGTTTCTTTTTTGTTTTAAATCATTTTATCAGGGGCTCATACAACTCTTATCACAATCCACACATACATCAATTGTGTAAAGAACACTTATACATTTGTTGCCCTCATCATTCTCAAAGTTTGCCTTCCACTTGGGTTTCTGGAATCAGCTCCTCATTTTCCTTTTCCCCTCCCCCTCCCTCCCTGCTCTCCCCCCTCATGAACCCCCAATAATTTGTAAATTATTATTTTATCTTATCTTACACTGCCCGGCATCTCCCTTCACCCACCCCTCCGTTGCCCATCCCCCAGAGAGAAGGTTATATGTACATCCTTGTAATCGATTCCCTCTTTCTAACCCCCCCCTTCCCTCCCGGTATCACCACTCTAACTGCTGGTCCCAAGGGGTTCATCTGTCCTAGATTCCCTGCGTTCCCAGTCCCCATCTGTACCTCTGTGCATCCTCTGGTCTAACCAAGTTTGCAAGGTAGAATTGGGATCGTGATAGTTGTGGGCAGGAAGCGTCCCATGGGTTTCCTTTATATACAGTTGTAATGCATATTGAAGGAATAACCAGTGGGTGGTGATAAAAGACAAACTTGTTGCAACTACCTACCTATGCCCATCCTTTTGCACTGCATCTAACTTCCCAAACTCAAAAAAATTTACACTCCTGGAGTTAACTCCAACTTACAGAGATTCAATAGGACATGCTACAACTGCCCCTGTGAGTTTCTGAGACTAACCCTTTACAAGGTTAGAAAGCCCCACCTTGCTTCTGAGGAATGGCTGGTAGTTTTGAACTGCTGACCTTGTGGATCGCAACCCAACTCATAACCACTACCCCACCAGGGCTCCTGAATCTAATTCAAAACACTGTAAAATGAAATCAGAAGGTGGGCATAAGATACTGGTCATTTTCCTTTGTTTATAAAATTAATAAAAACCACACCAATGAGTAAAGTAATCGGCACATTGTTTATATTGCTTTTATACAAGATAATCTACTTCAGACAAAATGTACATTCTCAAAAGCCATTAGAACCAGAAATTAAGCCAGTGATTTCACACTGTTGTGTTATACAGAACAGGTCTACACTTAGCCCATGATTAACTGTAGATTGACAATTTTGATCTAGATACAGAATCTTCCTCTTGCCGGTTTACTAGTGGTTATATCCCATTGTAGATGTGTAAGCACAACCCTTATTAACAAAGTGGATAGCTGTCCTTCCCTGTTTCAAGCCTTTTGTCCTAATGGAACATATTTCCAAATATCTGGAAATATATTAGTAATCCTAGTCAAGTACTCCTACCACAGTTGGCTGGGGGTGAAAAAGCACAAACTAATGCTGTAAGATCAAGTTCAACTCTTAGCAACTATACAGGATCGAATAAAACTGCCTCACATAGTTTCTAAGGCTGTAAACCTCAACAGACGCACACTGTCACCTTTTCCCCCTGTAGAGCAACACATTTCAGAGCTTTCTCTTAGCAGGTGAGCACTTAACCACGGGGTCTCTCTTCTTGAAGAGAGTGCTTGTTTTTTATTTTCTACTTTGTTTTGCAAATATAAAAGATGATTGTAAACTCTACAATCAGTAGGTCACATTGTCTTCTAAGACTGGAATCTCATAAAGTTGTTCAAAGATATGGTTCTCAGTCATTGACGTTTCTTTTTTTCTTTTTAAAATTCATCATTTTCTTACAGATGTCATAACATTCCATAATTCAGATAACTAAAGCATAAGTGTACAGTTGCTCTACAATCAGTTTAAAAATATTTTCTTCCTTCTTGAACTCTTTGATGTCAGTTCCCCTTTTCCCCTCCTCCCCCACCCTTCCCCCCAGGAACCCTTATTGTTAGCTATATTATTATTAATAATATTCTATATATACACGTATATTTCACCTACAATTCTGTTATTC